ATTTCAGGTGATATAAAAAACAACACCTTTATTAAAATGTGGTTTTATAAATGTTGAACTAGACTGGAGGCCGTCCTTCACAGACAGCAGAGATATGAACGCCACAGACATGCAGATATTAGTTCTTCCATGTTAGCTGTGTGTTAAAGCTGTGAAACTGCCTGAAAATCAAGAAAAGTGTCTTAATAACTAAATCGTAGAGCTTTACAGAGTGACTGTGTGGTAAAAGACGTTTTGTTGTTAAATCTTATTAGAGGAAAGGAAGAAGAAAATACATTACGCACTGTAAAATTATAATGGTAATGCTCTAAAACAGAAACAACAAATCATTTTTTAATGCTATTTTTTCATTTACATATTTTTCCCTTAACTTATCTTGAGGGATGTGTTCCAGATGAGTTAAAAATGTTTGATATAAGAAGCCAAAACAAGTCTTACAATTTCTGTCATTGTTTGGTGGGATTTCAAATAAATATCACATAACCAGTTAGTTAACAGTGTTTGTTAAACACATCAAAATCAAATACAACTAAGCAATATAAAAAAAATGATTTTAATACCCAGGCAAAAATATATATACTAAGTATACTAAATCTAAGTATACTTTAGTATACCTGAAGCCGCACTAATAATAAGTACATTTGAAGAGTGCTGTTTTGGAACAACTAATTTAATACTAAATATACTTTAAGTGTATTTTAGTTGTACAAAAGTACTATTTAAGTGTATTAAGTATACTTTTAAATACTAAAATGGAACAACTTAAAATATACTTAATATATTGTAAGTATATATACACTAAAAGTGTACTAAGTATATTTGAAGTTGTTCCATTTTACTATTTAAAAGTATACTTAATGCACTTAAAATTGTGCTTTTATACAACTTAAATACAACTAAAGTATATTTAGTATTAAATTAGTTGTTCCAAAACAGCACTCTATAAGTATACTGATGATTACTGCGGCTTCAAGTATACTAAAGTATACTTAGATTTAGTATACTTAGTATAATATTTTTTCACCTGGGTATTAATTCTTCAAACTAAAAGCTCTGAGTCGAATAAAGATTTCTGTCTCTGTCAGAACCCAAAATGCAGACTGACACAAGGAAATGTAATTATAAACTTAGTTTATTATATCCAAACAATATCTGACGTGGCAACACAACTTCTGTTAACTCGAGGGGCACAAAGAACATGTTTGAGGGCGGAGCTTCTATCATGAACATCACCAGTAATGTTCTGCTGGTGAGACAAACACTGAATTTAGAGACAATAATCTCGACGGTTGCTTTTAGCTGCTAAGCTAAAAGGAGCTAACTGCAGGAAATTCATCCACTAACCCCTGGTTTACACCAGACACAGTTCTGCTTCGCTGCAGTGTTGCAGTTTGAGCCACTTTCCAGCAGATTAAATAATAAARGTTTGGTGGCTGTGGGTTTAAACCAGTGGTTCTCAATTCTGGGCCTGATCCCACTATCCTGCATGTTTCTGTTGTTTCCCTGCTTTGACACACCTGGTTTAAATCAATGAGTGATTGACAGGCTCCTGCAGAACTTATAGACCACCAGAAGAGATGGGAACCAACAAAAACATGCAGGATAGTGGGCCATGAGGACCAGAACTGAGAAGCACTGGTTTAATCAGAGTTGAGGTGGAGGTCAGCTGGAACACAGTTCTCTGGGTCCTGCACACAATAATCCGACTTAATCTGGTCACTTAGTCAGAATCACTCAGAATTATGTGAGACTGAAACCGTTTGTCTCTGTTTTGGGTCATGAAGCAGTCCTGTGACATTCAGGCTTTAAACACTAATCTGCATCTTTAAACAGGTTTAAATGGCAGCATGAAGGCTCAGATGTTTCACAGCATAAAGGTCTTTGGTTCAAAACCCAACTCAGACCTGGGGTCTTTCTGTGCACACGTTGCACGTTCTCCTTGTGCTTGCATGGGTTTTCTCCAAGTACCCTGGTTTCCCCCAAAACATGTACAATAGGTTGCCTTCAGGCCTGCCTTACAAAAGACATGTGTGATCTCAGCAGTGTTGTTTGTGACTGTTATTTTAATTTTAGTCTTAGTCTTTTGAACAAAATTACTTCTTAGTTTTAGTTGAGTTTTAGTTGACGAAAGCTTAAAAATATTATTTAGTTTTAGTCTTAAAAAGGACAACATATTGGTCTTTACAAATTAATTTGAGTAATTTGTGTTAACATTTGTGAATTTGTGTTACTCTAAAAATGCCCAAAACCAAAACATTCTCACTTTGGGGCTTTATTTGTCAGAATTTGCTAAAGTGCAATGAACATGCACAATACACAAGTTCAATATTATAAGCAGTAAAGGGGAACACACATGTTGAACTCAGACTTGTCAGCCAGGACCATGAAGATGTGTCTTATTTATAAAAACAAACATCATGCAGTCCTAAACTTAGTTAGTAGACTATTAAACTTGTGCAAACGAGTGTTTACATGCACCAGGCTTTTATTCTGAAAAGAAGCACTGACATGCACAGATGCTAACTCCCCCTGGCCAAATAAATAAATAAATAAATAACAGGTTGCAGTCCCTCCCTCCACTCTGAATTCTAAATGATTGACAGACCACCAACTAACATTTTTGTCCAGTCTCGTCTCGTCAACGAAAACTCAGACACGTTTCGTCACGTCTCAGTCATCAAAGAACTGTTTCTTTCATCACCGTCTCATTGTCGTCATGAAAAAAGGGGGCGTCAACGAAAATATTCCGTCATCGTCATCATCAATGAAAACAACACTGGATCTCAGTGGGATTTAATAAAAATAAATGGAAAATAAGTGACTGAAAAATAACCTGATATGTTTTGTTTCTTACTGAAGGTTAGATGAAAGATTTTAAAGGTTTCATGAGATGAGTAGACGATGGTTTGTTTCGGACAGAAACAAACTGTTTCACAGAATAAGCGTAATGTGAAAATGCAAAGACAAGAATGTGGTATTTTAATGGCAACTATTCCTTCGGCAAAATGTCCCTTTTTAAAGAGAGCTTAAAAAATCAATTTAGAGTGAAAAGAAGCTGTAATGGTGTCCAGCTGTGCTCAAGGCTTTAGGACATTATTAGGAGCACATTCTGCAGAGGCTTTTTACCAACAGCAAACTGATGATGTAAGAGTTCAGGCAGATAATGTTAGACATGAAACAACCCAGGTGAAAAAATTTATATTAAAGTATATTTAATCTAAGTATACTTTAGTATACTTGAAGCCGCACTAATCATCAGTATACTTAAAGAGTGCTATTTTGGAACAACTAATTTAATACTAAATATACTTTAAGTGTATTTTAGTTGTACAAAAGTACTGTTTTAAGTATATTAAGTATACTTTTAAATACTAAAATGGAACAACTTAAAATATACATAATATATTGTAAGTATATGAACATTACAAGTGTACTAAGTATAAATAAAATAGTACTTTTGTACAACTAAAATACAATTAAAGTATATTTAGTAGTAAATTAGTTGTTCCAAAACAGCACTCTTTAAGTATACTGATGATTAGTGTTGCTGTACGTATACTTAGATTTAGTATATTATTTCACCTTTGAGCAGAGGTTCCCAAACTTTTCATCTTCTGACCCACAAAATATTCATGGCAAAAACTTGTGACCCCAAATATTACTGGTCTGAGTACACAAACTTTGTTAATAACCCTAAAAACACAGGCTTTTTGACAATCTAAACAGTTTGTACACAAATATAAATACTTATTTATACTTATTTTGTGTTTTTGTAATAGTTATAGAGAAAATATTACATCAGCAATTATTTTATTACCCTTTAAATTGATTTCTGGAGATTATCCAAGGTGCTTCATGACCCATAATTGGGTCCCAAGCCCAACTTTGGGAACCAAAGTGCAGTGGTTCCCAAACTTTTCAGCTTTGGACCCACAAAATAACAGTAGCAGAGACCTGAGCCCCCAGCTGTTTCTGGATGATAAACATTTGTATCAGGTCACCTAAACATGGACATAGTAACAATATTTTTATACTACATTTATCCATTTTAAATACACTAACCTCACTCCTTTGTAACAACTAAGGTAAAAATGTAATTAATTCAGAAAATCTTTTCAGGACCCCACCTTGATGTTTCGGGACCCCACTTTGGGTCCCGACTCCAACTTTGGGAAACACTGTCTTAGAGTATACTTTTGGTTTATTATAAATAGAAAGAAAGTACAATTTAAAGCTACTTATGAATATACTTTTTACCTCACACTAATGTACTGCAAAAGTATTAGGCTACCAGTACTGAAGGCTGAATTAAACAATTAATAATTAAACTAGGGACACATTTTTCAAGTGAAAAAAAAACTTTTTGTATATAAGTATATTCCAAATTTTTCAAAAGTACATTGCCAGTGTAATAATAACACAGAAATGTACAAACTTTGAGAATATCAATAGTTTACAAACAATATGCTTATTAAAAGTCCACACCATTAAACTTTAACATACAACATTAAAGGTTCTGGGAACAAATGGGAAATGGCCAACAAAATTAGACAGTTTTACTGGGATTTTAAAATGTGCACCACTTCCACCATGCAGGGGAATGAAGAGAGACAGTTCAGCCGGCTCCAGCTGCAGAATATAATAAACCAATTAGCACATTTTACACCAGTGACCTTTTCAGCTCAGGTTTAACTTAAGAAACATGCCAGTGTCAGTGACCTTTAACCATCAGGTCTAAGTACTAATCTACTACATGTCTGCCTTGTTGTATGAGTGCACTCAAGGACGTGAATGCATGCTGAGGCAATGTATTTGGTGATTACATCAGAAATCCACACTCAAGCTCGACCCTGGCACCACAACACTAATGAGAGTAAATGCAGCTATTAATTCTTAAACTGGTGTTACGGCCCCAAAGGTCTTGTGAAGTGCAATTACTGTCACTCTAAATATTCAAGCAACTAATCCTGTTGTTTTTTTCTCTGTCTCTGTGTGTGTAGGTTAAATTTGGAGAACCAGCAGATCAAGAATCCCAGAAACTCTGCAGTATAATCAGTCAGTTCATCATGGACTTTAAAAGGACTCGGGCAGAACTTGTATGACTGATCTTGACCTGAGGAGGTGATCCTGTTCAGTTTGAGAGCTCACATCTGAAGGTCTGGTGAATGTGGGCAGTGACTTGTTAACTGGACATGACTGTGGAAACATGTCTTCATTACACATTTCTGTATATGAGCATGTCTGAAGTCACCTTCTCCAAACAGTTTATCCTTTGGGACATGATGCAAAGCTCACACTGAACAAAAGTACAAGACTCTGGGCTCAACGTGGAACACACAACACAATTTGTCTCAATTTAGACAGGTTAACCCTTTGACGCACAACGTGGATCAAAAACGACCCGCATTCAATTTCCAGGTTATTTCATGCTGACTGAGTTTTTCTTTGCTCTATCTTTTGAAATCCATTTACTTAATGATTGAATATTCCAATTATTCTTTAAATATCTTGTTTCTAATGACCACAGATCATAAATTTATTATTTTATTTCCTACTTTATGAACAAAAATACTTTTTATATTACTGCACATGGGTCATCCAAGTGTGATTTAAAATTAAATGTCAATATTATAATAAAACATTGTTTCAAGTAATTACTTTAGCAGTGACTAGAGCCAACCAGGTATTTATTTAATATTTGCAACATGTTTGTCATTTAGTCACACATACAGACACCTTCTGATAACAGATAACAGCCACTGAACTGAACTTCTGTGGTTTAACAACTATAAACTGGTAAAATTTGACCAAATAAAACAAAACACAATTGAACACATCACTAGAACACAAACCTCCATCTCAATCTTTACATGCCTCACAAAAGATCACTAAGTGTGTGTGCTCCTTGCACACAGGCCTGGTGCACTGGGAACAGATTCCAGGCATCTTTTGGTGAAACAGCTCTGGATCCAGGTGTCGGTCCTGGCCAGTTCCTCAGAATATTATGGCTTGTTTTTCCACAAGTGGAGGAATTGTCATTCCAGTAAGATCCATTTTTACACAATCTATTGGACTGAGTCTGAGTTTCCTCTTCTGAGGCTCATCAGACGAGTTTTCTGCATCATCAGAGGTTTCTGACTCTGAACCAGGACAAATTTCTGCCTCATCTTCCACATCTGGTTCCTCCTGCAGCATTACTACAACCAACTCATCAGTAAAACAAGCAGCCATCCTCTGGATAAAGAAAGTCAAAACCACAAAAATCATTTCAGATGGACACCAAAATACATAAACATACATTTTGTTGACTTTGCTAGTTAGCTTTGCTAACTACTTTACTACTTTACTTAGTAGCGTAGCAATCCACTTCCATAGTTATCTAAGCCAACTACAATATAATTAGCTAAATAAACTAGAGTATGTCAACAGGTAGCTAGCTAACAGTAATTACTTGAAACTTTCTAACAAGTAAATTACTGACTCAAGATAACCTAAAAATAATCAAATTATTTCGGAGGTGATGTTAGAACAAGTGTAAAACAATATGAGGTGTAGAAAACCACGTCTTCTGGTTGAAGTTGAACTGTTGTTTGCTCGATGAAAAATGACTCTAAAAACAAGGCTGGTTTGAACAGCAAGAACCTTTATTTTTGCAGTTCAGGAGATACAGCCTAAAAAAAAAACAAATTGTGGCCTTCAAGCCGAATGATTCACCAAGTAAGAAAGATGGAGAAACGAAGGCCAAGGGCGGGGGCGTACAGGGCTCTTTATACATTTTCCACAGATGTACATAAATCTTGTCACGGTATACCTCAAGTGTTCTTCTTTCCTAATATGGTGAAATGTGCTGAGCTCTGAATCTGGATGGCTCAGGGGCCTCACATCTGTGCATTCCTGAGACAACCCCCCCACTCTTAGACACTACAAATACTTACATATATTAGATGGACAAAGGTGCTGTGCTGAGTTGTGAAATATCTGACACAAGAACAATTCACAGTTTCACCAAATGCTGTAGTAAATGCATGCGGGTCGTTTCTGACCCATGTGTGTAAACTCGATGTAGAATTACAAAAGCTGTGCTTGTTCATAACTTCAGAAAGGAAAAACACAAATGATGACTTGTGCTAAAGAAAAACAAGGTATTTACTGCATATTTGGAAAATTATATGATAAAAATAATCTATTTCAAAAGTATATCATTGAAACACTCAACCATACATGAAGTAACCTGGGAAATGAGTGCGGGTCATTTTTGACCCATGTTGTTTATGAGAAGGGTAGTGATCCAACAGTTTTTATTCAAAAGGTAAAAAATAAAACAATGATATATAATGATGAAAAACAAGTTCATTGAGGAATTCCTTGGATACTGAATGATAAAATTAATTTATTGCAAAGATATAGAAGATAAAAACTCAGCCGGGTCACTTATGACCGATGTTAAGCATCAAAGGGTTAAGAAAGATCAAATATTCATAAATAATGACTTATACTGCGAAACTGGCATTAAAATAATCATAATCAGGTTAAAAAGGCTTTTTTGGGTCACAGTTCTTTTTATAGTCATTAAAATTCCATTTATAGCTTTTTTGTCATGCTGATCATGTTTAGGAGTTTGAAGGGCTGTGTACTTTGATGACTGTCCAAAGTGTTTAATCAAAGCTTTCCATCAACATGGGTCAGGGCTATCATGACACATCAGCACCATGAAGTTACTCTGACTGAAACAGTTTGTCTGGTGGCAGGATCTTTTTAGATGTAGGGAAATCTGATTTTAGAAGAAACATCCCTGGTGTAAAAATTACCCAACTGTAAATAATTACCTTTAAATACCAAACATGTACAAGGTTCTGCTATCATGGAGTGAAGGATTCTCATTAACCTTAAATACAAATTTCTATTAATAAAACATAWTATATTCTGTTTATAATAAAGTATAATTATACTGTGACTGCACGTGCTTCACACTACAATCTGTGTCCTCATTTCCCCACAGCACTCTGAAGGAATTTATTAGGTTGGATACTGACGCTAAAAGCACTACACCATTTTCTTAGTTTTCCTTTCAAGTATTAACTTTTATAATCCATTGTTTAACMATTGTTAACTCCTGATTAAAATAGTTTAGGTACATGTCCGAAACATCATCAACACATCGAAAAACCGTTATTAATTCATTAGGGAAGGCATTGTTTGTTCGAGTGGCCTGTGATGCAGCCTTAGGCCTGCAGGGGGCGCTCCAGGCACTGAAGACTCTGTATAAAAGGACAGGAAGTTCCGGGTTTCAGGCAGCGTTGCTCCGATTGCTTCAGCATAAGCAATAAAGCTCCATTCATACCAGATCTGGGTTGTATGGTCCATATACTTGTCACATTTTAATCAATTCAATATTATGTGGTTTTGTCCCGATTTCAGTTAACGAACACGAAATATTTCTTACAACTCTACTAGATCACCTACAAAGCTAACATATACAACTCATCTATGACTAATCTGTGCTAATCACATTCATACACTGATGGGACACACATCAGAGGCATTAGGGGGTCGACACAAGGGGAGCGACAAACTACAGCGATTAACGGCTGTCATCGCAGCCAGGGTGAAACCCGACAC